GGGAAGGGACGAACTGGAGCAGGTTCCGCCCAAAGTCGACAAACATCAAACCAGCCTCTCGTCTGCTTGCCGACATGGCTTTCCTCTCCTTCAGTTTTGTGCAGTAGATGGTTGTCGTATGTCGCCACAACAACAGCCGGGCGCCATATTTCAAAAATAAGAAAAACCCTCATGCCCCGCGCATCGTTTCGCACCCTTCGCAAACGCTGATCAGTTCATCAGAGTAGATAGGGTGTGGCAAATTTTGGACAGGAGATTGGACTGTCGGGACAGAACTGCGGCCGCCCCGCCGCTGTGCGCACTGTTATATCCATCACTCTCATCGCTATCAGATTCCAAAGGGCACGGGCAGAACAATATTTGAAAATTTGCAAGAAGAACACCACGTAGCGGGAAGGAATCGAAGCGCACCTTGGTACCCTAATACCAACCGACGCCACGACCAGGAGTTACCCAACTTGCACCATCAACAGTTATACTGCGGTTCTACGCGACGTGGGTAGCGAACCAGGGAACTACCATGAGATTGGTATACGGGACCAACTGAGGGGAATCAAAGCAATCAACCAAGACAAAAGCTTCCCCACGAAAATGACACGCCTTCAAAGGGTTATAGAAGTGGACCCAGTTGGTCCACAATAACGATCTTCGAACGTCCGTGTCGCACAAGATACCGTCTTTGTCTGCCATGGGGAACTCGGGAAGACAGCTATGGCGGATCGACATGAGTGTCAAACATGGACATCTGCCCGTGTTAAGACTCTAATTGGAAAACGTAGACTCCATACACCTCCGGGTCAAGACTCAACTCTCTGCTCAAACACAAACCAAAACTGTGAAAAGACTGAAGCTGAGAAGGAAATCAAAAGTACGATTGCAAAAAGACAAAGGCAAAGGTTTTCTAGCTCCACGAGGCAACCATTTCCATCCATACAAGAAAAAACGATCAGTACTCCCGACATTTCTTCACCATCAGTGACTCATGCAAGCGGAAGAGTGTAACAAGAGCAACGTACACACGTACACACAAGTAGCCACATTCATGGACTTTGGCTGACCTCCACACAGCGGAGCAATTACACATTCATCTAACGCTTGCAACCAAGGCCATGCACACAACTTAGGACTCAGTTTCAGTATGCACGCCGACATCGACAAGCCACGATGGAGAAAAATCATGTCCCTCGCAACCTTTAAACATTAGACATACCGCCGTCATACATGCAAGGTACACCATGCCCAATCATAAGCCGTGTGCCAGCTTAGCCTCGAGGTCCTGTGCCTGGCCACACCCTCTCACTTCATCAATCCTCCACCATTGCTTGTCCCTCCAACTGCAACCTACCGATACTACCGCTAGACTTACCCTGCGCAGTCACTCCGTGCATCTGTGGGCATGTCAAGCATTTTCAGTGTCGCAGTCGTTGCGCATAGTCTGGCAGCACCGCAGCTGAGATCAGCGAGGAGGAGAGGAAGAAGCTGGGCAGATTTATGGCGGAGAAGGCATCAGTGTGGAAGACGTGGGAGCAAGAGTTGAGACAAAAGTTTCTAGAAGGATGGGACTCATGGGAGAGGTGACGAAGGCGGGATGATCTGAAGTTTTTGCACGAATCAGGTTCATCGTCCAAGCCGCGTGCAAAATTTTCGCTCTTACGGCTTGATCTGACCAATTCAAACCCCGGCCAATCATCGTTCACTGAGAAGGAACGAAGAGGTGTGCAAGGACGATGGAGACTGGCAAGAAGGGAAGTTGGTGTGGGTGCATGAGTGGGAAGCTGGCTTGCATGTAATGCGAAATTGAAACTGCCAGCCCGCCCTTAGGAAGAATTTCAAAAATAAGAATGGCAACCAATGATGTACCTAAAAATTATAACTGTTTCATTGAGAAATTCCACGTGGTCGCTATTCAGCCGCACAATTTAAAAATAAGAATGGCAACCAAGAATGTACCCAGAAAGTATAACTGTTTCTTTGAGAAATTCTACGCGGTCGCTATTCGGCCACATTAAAAGCACAGGCTTATATGCAAAAACTTAAGACCCGACCCCCCTCTAATCCATCTTCACTCAGATCGTCCCCGCAGCCTACACTGCGTGCCAAGCTTTTCTGAACTGCCAATGGTGCACTTTTGACCTATTCTGGTGGAACAGAGCCTTCGATAACTGGAGTAACTCGAAAAGGGGGGTGCTTCTGTTGCCACCTGGATTGAGGGCCTCCACAACAATGTTTGTTAAATTAAAAACAAGGAAACAAAACTATGGACCTGAACTGCGTAGCACTGTGTTCGGGTTCGGTGACCGAACCCGAACTCGGGCCGAGAAACACTGAACCCGAACGTAAATATATATTATAAATATTTTAATATTTTAATATATATAATATATATAATATAGGGATAATAGGGGTGGGGGACGTGGGGGGCAAGGGGCATTGCCCACACACACACACACACACACACACACACACACATACACACACACCCGCTTGTGTACGTGGAGGGAGTCGGGAGCAGGAGGAGGGGACGTCGCAGCAGTTGCCACGTGGCAACTGTAGGGAGAACAAGGGATTTGGGAGGGCGGCAGGGAGGACCTTGGGGGATCGGGAGTGAGATGACAACAAAGGAGGCTGGAGATGGAGGAGGGAAGAAGACGAAGTCAACGAGGAGAAGAAGAAGAAGAAGAAGAAGAAGAAGAAGAAGAAGAAGAAGAAGAAAGGAGAATAATACGAACAAGAAGAATAAAGAAAAATAATACAAAGAAGAAAAAAAAAAATGCGGGGTGGTTGCCACGTAGCAATCGCACCGAGGAGGAGGGAGTCGAGAGCACAAGTAGGGGATGTCAGTAAGGGAGGGGAGTTGGAAGAGGGCGACGAGGGATCTCTCTCTCTCTCTCTCTCTCTCTCTCTCTCTCTCTCTCTCTCTCTCTCTCTCTCTCTCTCTCTCTCTCTC